ATCAGTTGTAAGTATCAGTTGTATCAGTTATAAATATCAATTGTAAGTATCAGTTATAAGAATCAGTTGTTAGGCCAGACCAAAAAAATTACTTGTTCATTGGACTCGCACGCACCTATCATATCGCATTTTGGATTTTTTTTTTAATTTGCATTAAAAACTCACTTGATCGTTGGTGGCGCTGTTACAGACTCTCGCAAAGTGCGATACTTCAGGCCGAGAGTTGTATGTGCGTCCCCAAAACGCATTCATACGGTCGGTCGGCTGCTCTATTCATGACAGTAACGTTGACTGCTATCTTTTATCTGCTTTGCTTAATCAATTTTGTTTTCTGGGTGTTGGTTAATACGTTGAATAAAGAACTTACAAGATGAGTATAAACGTTATAGTCTGTGCACGCAGTGAGGGTGGAAATGTTTTAATGCCAAAAACGATGATCTCTGTGAATTTGGATCAGACATTTACTGACTTGTTTAAACAATGCATTCAAAATGACAATCATGTTCTGAAATAAATGAAGATTCCATAGAAAAAATAGTAATATCTGATATTCGTAATATACAGAACAATGTTACTGTGAAACCAGATACAGGAGTTTTGGTTTGTGTTGAATTTAATATGAAGTGTGTTACTGCACATCGCCTACCCAAATGTGAGCACAGACCCTGGACATATATATTTGGAATGTCAGACGATAATATTACCCAGATGTTAAAATGAGAAAAACAAATTTTTCCCTAAAGCTGTTGATTTGCAATTTTCTAAAAGTAAACTGAGGGTGGAGGAAGTATTTAAACTTTTCACGGTCGAAGAATAGTTTGTTCGTTCACATCCCATTCTCGAAGGTCTCAATGGACACAATTATTCGGAAAAGTAAAACGATGTTCAATGACCATTTTTGGCATTTCTAAAACCATTACTCAAAAGGAATATGAATTACTTCAGTATTGCAACATCGGGATTCATCGTGAGCAAATAACAGAATAGAAAAAGTGTGAACCATATTCTGTACGTTCGCCGGCCATGCACTCTGAAATTAATGCGAGTTTCCTTGTAAACTACCGTACCAATCACGATTATTATGCAATGAAATACACTTTTTACTTGCATATTTTTAATAAATATTGTTGACGCCCGGTAAAAAACCCTGGGCCTATATTCGGGTATGCCCTCAACTTGTTAAATGTCTAAAAACAGAGGGGTGGGCTTATATTCGGGGAGGGGCTCATACTCGGGGAAGTACAGTGACATAGATAAGATGTGACGTATCAGCTGCACTCTGATTCATTGTCAATGCTAGTCAACCACCTTAAGTTAGCATAATCACCTGGGGTGATTCCGCTCCCGTTTTCACTCCAACACAGAAGGTTGCCTGCGAATGCGTCCAGTCAGGATTTCTTTCGCAGTCACACTAGTTTTAGCGATAACGTAAAAAGTGCTAAATTGACAATTAATTATATATTTTTTTGTAAAACAAAAATAAAGTCCCAACTTTGCCAGTCTATGTATAATGTATGTATTGATTTATTTGAATGCATGGAAGCAGGTTGGACAACAAACAACATTTGCTACAGTTCGTGATTGCCTGTGGTATATTGATAGTCACCATGAAAAGTTTCAAAACTGCTCTTGTCCTATTCCTGATGCATTCATCCAATTTCATGGATACAATCAGTGGAAAATTCAAAAGCATAAAAAACCTATTTGTGCATAACGTTTAGAACAAATTAGCCAAGACATTGTAAAAGTATTGGATACTCCATCAAATTATTCATCTAGAAATGAGAAACTGATGTTGGCTATTGAACATTTGCTCAACTCTGTGCAAAAATTCAAGGAGTATAATAAAAGACAACCTATTGGATAATAACTACATAAAAACCCTTAAGGCATAGATGCAAGTTCGTGGGCACTTGGGAGTGAATTTTCTTTTATTTTGCTTTTTATTATCCAAACAGTCGTGGCTATAGACTGTTAACATTTCACAGCATTATGAATAGTGGAACATATTCAAAAAATGATTTTAAAATATAGAAAACAGGTACAAACATTCTCCCTTTTATATGCTTAAAGCAAGATTTAGCAAGGCTGTACATAAATAATCTAAAAGAAACATGGTGAAAAAAAGTAATGACGGGATCTCCATATTATGCACTATTTTTAACTTTTTACAAAACGATAATAGGTTTAAATTTGGAACTGTTACAGCCATTTTAATTATGAGCATTAGCAAACTTCTTACTGAGTGAATGGTTATGCAAATTAGCCATTATCTCCACTTGTGTTTTTCAGTTTACCATAGAAGTTCAAATCTAAATAGCTCGCACAATTCTTGATTATTTTGAGTGAAACTTTCACACAACGTGTATCAGTTGTTTATCAACAAAGGGGCGTCTAGGCGTTTATGTAGTATGTTTTGTTTCCATATTAAAAAGTTGTCAAGCAGGAAGTGTGCCGTATACTTCAATCTCGGTCAGTATTTCACACTTCGAATGTCATTGTCCGAGAATGCAAAGCTTTAAAAATAAGCCCAGACGTCCTTTTGTTCGTAGAGACGTTGTCAAAATAGTATGAAAATGTCAAGACAAACTGACAAAAACTGTGGGAGATAATTAATTTTCAATCTCTCTGACCAACCAGAAAACACGAACGGAGATAATGGCCGTTTTATGAAAGTGACGTTAATCGTCGACAACATGCCAAAATCCATCATACACCGACGCTTGCTGATGTTCAATCGTCAGATGAAAAAATAAAATAAAAATATTTACAATACGAGAGAAACAGACGTAAAATCGTTTGCGGAGTCAAAACCTTGCGTGAAAACTGGCATGGCATTGTGTTATCTTTCCACTTAGGGAGGGGCACAATGGATTACGTAAAGTCAATGAGATATTCATACAGTTATATAAACATAGCGATCGCCATTGGGTGGGTTGAGTATAAATTTAACTTTCCTCAAACTTTTAAAAAAATACTCTGTATGACGCAGTTTTGCACGATCTCCGGTGAAATGGATCGTGTGAAGTTAGACGGCTAGGTTGAAATGGGCCATAATATTTTGCTACACAATGGCTATTCACAGTTTTTGTACTCAATCGCTCAAACGCTAGTGAGAAAATGTCGAAATGGGACTATTGTAAATTGAAACAGGTTTCATTCAAATACGAGCAGACGAGACGGGTCAATAAAAATTAAAACGAACCCTGACCTCTGGAAATACCTCATTCATAGAGTGCCATAGTACCAGAGGTCGCCGAGCACAGCTGTACAACGTACTTTGCGACATCACTACAGATACATGCTAGCTGACATGGGGGTTTCCGATTAAGGTAACCAAGATGGCATCGCAGAGTGCGTGATTTTTCCGCGGTGTTTAAAAACAGCATCTCGTTGCCGATGTTTCTGTAATTTTTGGGGTATTTTTAATTAACCAAGCATTTTACGTTTGTGTATTTTCCCACTGAAAAGTTAGTTATTGATGACAGCACAGCAATGGTCTGAATGATGTTTATCCACTACATTGCAATGCTATCAACACGGTGATCGTTACAGCGAAACAATAAATGTATAATTAATCAGTTTTATAATGCCTTCAGAGAAAAAAATGCGTGAAAAAAAAATATTTAACAGTACTCCACTGGAAGCTGCCAGGCTAGAAGTTGTCGCCATGTTGCGAGATAAGGGTGAAAAAGTTTACTTATCATTTACAACTGTATGTTTTTTTGTATTCCACTTGCATGCTAGAAGCGTCTACGTCTTGTCTTTTTTTTTGTAATTTGCGAGACTAATTGATAGCGCTTGAGGTAAGTTAAGTAGGGTCGAGGACAGGACGTCGCACATCATCGTACTGCACCGTAACTGAGGCCAGCAACTCATTTGCATATAACATAAACTGTGACTTGTCAATCAAAGAGCAACGTGAACAAACTTTCGGGACTTTTAATCACATACGCGTGCCTCAATTCCCTATATTTTAAAATCCATTTTTGGGCATGTTCCTGCATTGACAATGTTCCAAAATTTCAACACTATCTAGCTAAGACTGTCTGGGTAAGCAAAGCAAAAAAAAAAAAAAAAAAAAAATCACTCCGAGTGCCCACGCACCTGCATCTATACCTTAAAAAACAGTTTCGTGTAGTTAGACTATTGTGCAACAATCATCAGCTTGTTGTCAACACACTAAGTTATGAGGCTGTGGACTAAATGTACATATGTATACTCAATTATATTATACCAGTGTATCACTGCCATCAATGCATCATTGTGATTGGTTGGGAGACTGGTTGGGAGACTAATTTATGCAAGCCATGGTTAAGCCATGGTTAAATAGAGCATAATGCACAGTTATGGTGTTCCAAATAAGGCCCCAGATTATGAATACAAGTGTGACGCAGATTTCGGGACATGACTGCGTTGTGTGTTGTTTTTTTTTGTAGACTTCTGCGATCACATAAAATAAATAAATAACTGAGACGGGGCTTCAATGCTCTGGAGGTAGTGGAAAGTTCTTTATTCACTTGCGACATCATCAATGGCAATTCCTGCATAGAATGACGCCATATTGGGATCGAAAAGTAAAAATACGGAAGAATACATTAATACAGAATTCTCACTTGACAGGTTGTTGGAAATATGCACTGCAAATATGCACATATCGAATAGTCACAAAAGTTTCTCAAAATCAAAGTTTCAGAATACACAGCATGTATCCCAATGTATTTCTTAGCTACATGGCATCAATATGCCAGCTGATCACTGACAACAAAGTCCGAAAATACATCTGAGTGTTATCCAATCTGATTAAAATCCGATGTAGGTATGGGGCTCCATTTTTTTTTTTTTTTTTTTTTTAATCATTTTTTTTTTTTTTTATAACCCTTTATAATATTAAGATTTATTTGTTGTTATTTTATTTAAAAATTTGTTTTGGTCTGGCCTAAGTGTCAGTTAAAAGTATCAGTTGTAAGTATCAGTGTCCCATTCACTCACTTTGTGTATTCAGTTGTGATCAAACTAATTTAGTGGAGGAGTACTCTGAAGTGATATAGCCTCTAATTCTTATTAATAATTAAAGAAACTGTCATTTGCATCCAGCATCAATTAAATTTAATAAAATTCAACTTAAATATGGTATTATTCAAGGTCCAAACCTAATGCCAAGACACATATTTCTTTAAATTGAATTTTATATTAGTTTTCCGCTTCTGCGTTTTATAGACAACCAATGTAATTACATGCCAATGTTATCATTATACTGTCTATTGTACAAGGGTTGTGGTCAAGTTATAACTGCAAGATCTGTCCACTAATCATCTATTGTACATGAAAATACACAATTTCTAAGCTGACTAAGCATTGTGTTAAAACCTGTGTAGTATTTTCCAATGATAGAACTTGTTATTCTTATTAGGAACATTTGACAAGCGTGTTGAAGAGTATGCTGAAGTGACTGCTATAATGCAGCCTACTGGTTTAGCTAAATTGGGTAATCGTGTCAGAGCATTTGGTAAGTCTCTAAACTGCCCCTATCACGTCAATCAACTTCTTCTTGAAAACTACCAGCGCAATTTCTTTGATACTTGGTATGTAGGTACCTGACCTCTGTCAGATTTGTTCATTTTGTGATGTCCTCAATTACCTATATTTGGCAAATATTTTTGGTAAAACATGCTACTTCTGACTTCTTCTTGAAAACTACAAGCTCAATTGCTTTGAATGCTTTATTGATTTTTTCTGGTGAATCTTTCGGGAACATAATCAATGACCACACTTCGGAAACTAATGAAGGTGGTTAGCAAGACGTTATCAGTGTTAGTGTTCTGGTTCCTCATGCCATATTGCACATCAGAACAATACAGCGCTTTCTGCTGGACCATTTGGTCCACAATCATGTACAGACACTCCAAGAGAGCTCAGTACCTAGACCTTCCAGTCCGCACTAGTTTGAGTCTCTTGAACACTGTTCAGATAGCTAAACAGATCAGCTGGAATAAGTTAAAGGCAGTTCAGTTAGACCTCTTGGCCTTTAAGGGCAGATAGGAACTACTAGTAGTGAGATACAACAATGTTACAACAGTGAACAACCTTAACAACTTCTGAACAGTGATATACAATGTACAACATCACCTTAAGGATCAACAACACCATATCTGATGCACTATCGTGGACCAAATTTCTGAGCACGGAGTGGCAGATCTCCCATCAGAATGCCATGAAACTGTTCAATCTTTGGCCAGAACCGTTTATTGATGTCCCCCTTGCCAGACAGCACTTCATACATGTCAATCAGCTGGGACATCGATGTATACTTGTTCCGCCTATTTCAGCTGATAATAGTGACACTCAGGAAGTTGGCTCTAATGATGCTGATAGCACTGTTTTGGCCGAGTCAAGGGCAGACAATCATCCTCTGGTCAGTACTAATAGCCCAGCTGTTCCACTTACACATGTACAGGCTATCTTTATGCTCCTGACAGTCCAAGTTATCACAGACTGGGTCTTATCATTGCCAAACAGAGGGTGACAAACTCACACACACACAGTGACTTGTTACTGGACTTTCTCTTGGGAGTTAGCACATCTAGATTGATGTATGATAATAGAAATGCTGTCTCAACTAGCCCTCTCATTCCAATTACTTAGTAAACTATTTGTTTAAGTTAGATATTTGTCTAAGAAGTGAAGCCACAGGCACCACAGTCACCCAAAACCTATCCCGATTGTTGTATTTTGTAGGCAGTTCAAAATTGTTAATTATTCATTTGCATACTTTTCATTTGCATAGCTTCGTTTGTTTGTTTAATTTCTCCACTGCGCATGATTCTTGTAGCCAATTCGCTTCGTTCTGTTTACATGCACTGTTTACATCGCACGCTGTACGTGCCCAGTCATTTCTGTTCGGGTTATTTTCAATTTACTTTCTCGCTATGCCAAGAAGTAAGCGGTGCTCAACATGCTCTGGCTG